GGCTGGCCATCGTAAGTCGTTGCATAGGACATATAAGCATTCAAATCGCCACAACAATTCTGAGTGGAAGTCGAATGCGAGGCTTCACCAAAATTGGGATTGACTAAAGCTGAAGACTTTATCAATTGTCTTGATCCTAGATTCTAATATATTACATATTATTTTCAGTTGTTTCAAGTCGATGTTCTCGAAATTGTGAACCAATGTGAGGCTCTTTGATAACCGTAACGCATCCTAATGGGGGTCGATCAACTCCGAAACTTTGCGGCTAGCTCGGAATCGTTGCCTGAACTATCACGATATGCTAACACCCCTCTCCCCCTTTTCCGATGATTGTGCGCAATGATTATAAACTGACGTAACTTCCCCCCTTATCACGTAAGCGCTCCCAAGGTCTTTTCGAACAACTAGCGATTGTCTATCAGCAGCTACGGCCGCTGCATGATAATTTGCTGAACGGATGGATTGGATTCATCACCGTCGTGCAGAGTGCGGTCGGTCCAGGTCTGTGGGTGTTCATCCTCTCTCCCATACCCCCACACGTATCAACGGCTATCACGTAATTAATCAGAAGACCATCTCTTCATAGCTAAGAAATCGGATCCTAATCGAAAGTGTTCTGGCTGTCGCAACGGATAGACGATTTTGACATCGAACTGAATAGAGAGAGAGAGAGCTATGTTGGTTATTCGATCGTTTATTTGCGTTGATTGAGTGTTTTATGACGCACACCACAATCGAACGAGCTCCTTAGGAATGCGCCACGCACACGTCTTCCATTTGGATTTGCATTTTGACCTTTGAAAAAATAACTGGCTACTTTCAATTAGTTCTAAGAGTGATATTATATAAAAGTAATGTAAATCATCCTCTCAATACCTCGATCCTGTGGGATTCGATGCTTGAACAAGCCTGACTCAACCCAATCTGTGTGTTAGTTCAACGATATAGAAAGTGCATGGAAAATTTTGTAAGTTGAAAAAATAGCGTCAAAAGAACAGACTAGCCACAATGAAAGTTTCACTCGCAGACGAAAAACCGCCCTGAACAATAATTTATTCTACGGGAATTCATGGCCCATACCCGTACCCTAAATATTCCTGAAAACTTTTAGCCAACGGGCTAATGTTAGTTACACGACAGACTCCGAAAGAACTTTCTTCTCATAAAACCTTAACATCTGTCAATGTTAGAGGAAAATTCGTCCTATTCCTGTTAAACCTATAAAGGGCCGTTGAATAATATGGGTATTAACCGCTACGCGACCGCACGCTCCGATGTCGCCGGTTGCGGGCACTTAAAACTTCGCGGCTGCGTTGAGAATGCAGCCTTATCAACCAAAAAGGCTTTTTGCCTTCTGAAGTCTGTACTTTGATGCACAAATTCGAAGAATAATCTTTATGCCCCATCTATCAATTTAGCACATTATGAGGTTGACCGCTTTTTATCCCGTGGCTCCCATCAAGTTTTCCACCACTCCGTACATAGCAGTTTCATAATTCAGAGAAGTCATTCCCCCTTGAGTAAGAGACTACAGGTGAATTTTCCGAAATGAAGAGTGTTTCTAATTAGCTTTTCACTACGTAGGCGGTCTTTCCCAAGAAAAAGAAAAGAAAGGGAAGAAGGACGTAAAGAATCCTAGTTCAGCTACTTCCCAAGTGTAGCATATAGGAAGATAGGAAGATAGGATAGAGCCATAGGAAACAATTTGAACCTGATAGGTCGTCCCATAGAAAATTGATCGTACAGTTATACTACTTCCCTTCTCCTAATATAGAAAGATGATCAACGGCTGATAGAAGCCCAGATTGACTGATAATTTGAGATAGAATTTAGCGCTTGAACGGAATAACGATCAGAACAAATAAAAAAGGCAACAATGCTATTGCTTTGTGAATGACGATAACGCCAAATCATCAGAATAGTGTAAATGATATCATGTTGGGTCATAAGTCCTCGGACAAAGTGATAGTGCTGACTTCTAGAGATCATAACTTGGGAAAGAGGTGACGAAAATGGACATGCATGGCATCGTTAGATA